TGGCGACACAACGGCGATTCTCATCTCCACATTCTATTCGTCACCGTAACATGACTTCAAATTGAATTTTATGTCTCTTCAGCCAATTATAAAACTCGGTTAGTAAAAATTATCCAATACGAACCGCCAATTCTTCAGTCCACGAGGACTACTTGGCAGCGGCATTATTTCTCTGTATTGGTTTTTTTGGCCTTTGAGATGCCGATAGCTTTAACAATTCGCAATACAGATTACTTCGACTATACAAGCTTTTTACAGAAGGCCAAGACGATGTAAATGACGACACTGTTATGGAGAATCGTCGAATCACTATTAGAGAAGTTAAGGATTTCGGCATTTCGGTTGGCTCATGCCTTGTTGTTTTTTTGGAAATTTTGGACATGAAGCATCGCTCAGAAATTGTTGAATGTCTTCAACGGCGATCCCGATTTGCTCAAAAGGGCCATAACTGGTGTTATGAACCTGATGCCAGTTAAGTCTCACCATCGTTGTTTTTCCACTCAACCTTGAAAAATATTGTATGAAAATATCTCATTACTATATTTGAAATATCAGTTCGGGGGACATTTATATTGATTTTGGGTTGTTTTATATTTTTATGGGTAATGACATGAAATCAGAATATACAACATTATAAACAGCACAGATATGAATGAGCACGATTCACTTACGAAATCGACGCTGTAAAAATAATGTACCTACTCCTGAATGTATGATACATTCTGCTTGTTGATGTGGTTCACTAATTTATATCTATTGAATGAAGGAAAATATGTTGGCAGTGTGTTTCTGTGAATGAGCCTCAGCTCATATTTTTTATTATGAGAAGAAAGATGACCATTACTACATATATAATTGTCAGATTGACTTAAACCCCTTGAAGTGGTTCGTTAAAGTGTTTATAATATTTTTTCAAGTCAACATCTACTATCAGTTCAAACTTTTTCAACTCATCTAATAAACCAAAAGAAATGCTGTTCATTTTAATATTTATATTAAACAAAAAAAGTAACCCAAGCAAAGATAGATGCGCGATCAAAGCGTGATCACCACGCACATTTGCGTCTATTGGGTAAAATAAACAAGCCTCCTTATGCTGGCCAATCAGATACAATTGCAATCGGCTGGCGGAATTCATTGTTACAGTGTCGCAGTGGTCAGTTACGTTTTAACGCCTGTGGTGTGTACATGTTTAAACATTTTTGAAATGTAAATAACTGAAAAAACTGCAAATTTGTGTCCCTAGATTCCACCTAAAAATTTTTCCTATACCCAGCCATATTAAAAAAAATTAGTCGTTCCTTAGTGCGACTCTGTACAAGCAGCCTTGTCTGGAAGATCACGTGCACTATGCATGGTAATGTTTTGGAGCACTCTACTGCTCAGATGGACAGAGCATAAAATTATCTTTTTGAAGCAGGAGATGGAGAAAACATTTTCTTCATCTCCTGAAGACTTCAACTTGGTTGGCGAAAAGCGTGAAAAGTGCTCGTTTATGATTTGAGAAAGTTATATTTCTCAAACAGTTCCTTGCAGGATACTCGGGAACCAACTTTGCAAAGGTAGCGAACAGCACGTTTTTGCAGAGCAAAAATTAAGTTGATTTTTATTACATATTCCCATATCTAATGTGCGAGTCAAATAAGGTATGGTACAATATTTTGGTAGTTTTCATCCCCAAAATCATGATGAAATACCTAGCTACTTCTTTGAAACATGATAAATGTAAAAAAAATAACATCCAATCAACGGAGCAATGTTTGGTTCATCAAAACCATTTATTTCAAGTTTGTTGTGAAGTTTCTTGAATTTTTGAAAATTGTGGAAAATTCACTTATAAAAAAGTTGCATCGTNAATGGAAGTTGAAATAATGAAATGCACTAAAAAAACCATAATAAAAAGTACCAGTAAAAGGAAAAATTATCTTTCTATAGTGTACCTAATTAAAGTGTATGTCATTGTACTGAAAGTTTAGATAACATTTCAACACTTTAGCATTATTCCTATAGACATGTCTGATCATTTCTGAAGGCATAACAAAGGGTAAACAAAATTTCATAACGAAACATGTTGAACATGTTTCTAGAGGTAAATAAAATGAGATAATTGTGAAAATAGAAAGACAATTTTAGTTTGTTTTATTGTTTCCAATACTTTGCCCAAAACATAAATTTAGTTATTTACATAATGTACACATTTTTGGGAAATTAGGTAACTACCTATATATAGATATGATAAACATTCAGAATAAGTATACAATTAAGAGTATTCAGGAAATTTTTACAAAAAATAAGCGTATTTTTACATTTTGTTACACTACAGAAAAACTATGAACATCTCTACCATTTATCCAGTTATAAATTATACATAGGTAGTTGCAATTACAAATAAAATTATATAAATATTAGACGATTCTTTAACCTGTTGAATAAAAAAACCTTTCAATTTATACACACGCAAAGACTTTTTATGCCACTTTGTTACAGGTGAGGTGACTTGAAAATAAACTTTGGTAACTAATATTTAGTATAACGGGTGATTTGATCAACATAAACCCAGTTGAAGGGTAACAAGATGCTAACAATTAAATTATGTTTGAAAAAAACTGAAAAGAACATTGAAATTAATACCAGTAATGATCTTGCTGCGGCTGAAAGCAGTTAGCAACATTATAAATTTCACCAATTTTTCAATGAAACGGATATGAAAGTCTCATGATAAAAAAAAGCCAGATGGATCGAATTACGCTAGTAAATAAAAAATTGAAGAAATATACTTCGAACACTAGTAAATAAAGCCATTTAGGATTTGATACAAGATATCAAAGTATAGAAAACTATCAAGCACATTTTTACACAAAATTTGAAAATATGTGATACAACAATTTTAATTTTAGTCACCCCTTAATATAAAGGTTTTGGTCAAATAGCACAAATTTTCAAAATGATATAGATTATTGTAACTAGTTCTGGAGATTCTATCTCTTTTCAGATTCACATAAATCAGTGAAAACTAATTATTTCTTTGTCTAATAAATATAAAATTCGATAAATAAATTCATACAGTATTAAAGAAAACATGACATTTTTTCAGCATACACGTTATATATTATGTTGTGTTGAAAAATCTAATCTCAAAGGTGAACAGTGAATACATTTTTCCTATTATACACCAGACAAGTTGTCAGGGGACATTTTTGTTCTATGCTTCTTCAAATTGATGATTTATTGTTCTGAAAATTTTAGACCCATTCAAAACTGAATGTTTTCAAAAGAAACAATTTTAAATTGCCAAAAGAATACATTAGATGTATCTAATATCACCAAACTAAAATATAGTAGTAATGCCAGACTATGATACAGTAGTTACAGAGTCACATTATTTACCTGCCCATGCGAACAAAAACCAAGTTATTTTTGGAAATTCAGTTTTGTAAACGAAATGCAGGGTTATTGAACTAGTCCTTACTTACCATTTTAAATAAACGAAAAACTGAATTTAAAAAAATATTGCCCTGAACCAAAGTTTCATTCATTCTTTTGTCACAATTGTTTTTTACAAACATCAAAATTTGTCATAGATTATTTATTTTGAGAGGGAGATACTTGACTAGATATTCACTTTGTGCAACTACTGAATACATTAAAACATATTTTTTGCTGATAGTGTATATTAGTTCGTTAAATGAAAAAAATAGTAACACTGACTGTTTCCCCTTTCGATGCCAAAACTTAATATCAATAATCAACATATTTATAAATTACCTGTTTTCCTAGAAGTAATATTGTATTGTAATTGTTTTTTCAAAATCTCCATGTTAACCAAAATTAATTGTTTATATTAACTAGGACTTATTCACCCTAGCCATTAAGGATATAGAAGCCTTTAATAGTGATACAATCCCTAAATGGGATGTATCAGTCGTATCTAATTACCTACCTTTAAATAAAGACAGTTCTTATGGCATTGTTAAGAATCCATATGCTAAATAAATAAATTAAAGACACTGAAGAATAGCTTGATGTACACCAGTCCACCTGATGAAGCGCTACTGTGTAGCAATGAACCTTTTTTTGAAGTACGAAACATCACTCACTAGCAGCGCGAGTAGTTCGGTAGGGACAAACACTGTCTAATCCTCATATAAACATATGGTGAAGTACAATTAAAAAAGAATGTTTTTAACAAAAGATGTTCCTGGAGCAAAACTGAAATTTGCAACTGTAAAGGATAACAATGTTGTAACAATGAAACGTTGGCTTGCATGCCGTAATTTAAAAGTAACTGGAAAAAAAGTTAATTAACAGACAGGTTAGTATACAGACTGTAGTAAAAGAGTAGCGGTAGATTCAAACTGTAATAAAAGAAATTTAAAATAATTATGAATTTCAGATTTATTTCCGAGTGAAATATGAATCAAATAATTATTTTGAATAGTTATAACTGATCTTAGAAAGCCGAAATTGTGACAAAACCATCAAATGCTTTTGCTTTGAAAAATAATTGAATGAAATTCATTGTGACAAAAAATGGCATTATGATTATGATCAATAAACAATTTGCTCATTGCTGTATTACATATAACAATAGAAAAAATATTTTGCAAATTGATATTTGCCTTAGGAGTTTTATCACTTATAATCACCGGAAACAGTAAATTTGTCACTTGAAAAGAAGACCTAGATCATTCCTGAAATTTGTGTAATTTACTGAAATCATTTTCTTAAAATTTTCACCCAAGTTTGTCAAATAGCAAAAACAGTAATGTTGAATAGTTATTGCGATTTCAAATATCGGACAAGGAAACAAACCAAATGACAGAATGCATTCAACACTCAACCAAACAACAACATGTAGGGTACAATAAGATGTGGGTCTCTTAACCCCAGAACTAGTTTTCTTCTTTGGAAAATATTCTCTAATTATATTCTGATCACTTTATTTGCAAATTTTTTGCATGAAATAGATCAAATTCATGAAGTGGAAACCAAACACGTAATAACAAATCATTTGGAAATATAATAAATATGTAAATAGACATCTATAAAAAGTTAAATAAATATAAAGCAGTATCAGAGTGGCAAAAAATCATCTCATAGAATTTAATTTTCACTTCTAACACAGTAAATGTTTAAAAATGTGAGAAAGTCCGTACAAATTAATATAATTAAAATCATCACAATTAACCTCAAAACTTAATTTGAGTTGACGTTTAGCTCCTGTCATGGAACCCTGTGCTCGGGACAGTATGCCTTGAATTCACTCTCCACAAACTCCCAATCGTTAGATCTAGCACAACAAAGATGCATCACGTTCAAACATCCCCTCCTCAAACATGAAATATTAGCCCCTTTCAAGTTACACGACCTACATGCCACGTTACAAGAAGTCCAAACGGCTTCCTCGAGGCCGGCGATTTTCGGCCCGATCAGATAAATTCCCGGAGACCACACGATGCAATCCTCATGCGCCCAAACTTCATAATTTTTATTACCAGTCTCTGTGATACCCAAGTAAATATCTGACTCACTTTCTGACAGACCGTCGATATCGGAATGTTTCCGTTTCGATTTCTTTCCAAAACCTTTGGCCGCGGACTCTTCCAGAGCCCTGCTGATTTTCTTGCTCTTGAACTGTTTGTCGTAAGGATCGTCAAGCCGCCTTTCGAACTCCGGACACTGAGTAGTAATGAAGTAAGGACCGAATAAATCTCCTGGTGGAATGACATCTCTGTTCGACGTTGGACCAGAGAGTTCGCTCGCATGGGGCCCTCTTTTGCAAAAGGCGCATATCCAGCTAACATCTTTCGTCTGCGCATCGTACTTGTTACTCAAAGTGCTGCAATGCAAACCTTTCGAGCGAACTTTGTGCCGGTACTCCACGTCGTCATGGAATTTCTTTGCCTTCGGTAACCTCCTCTCTCCGTCCTCTTCATTTATTGTATTCACCACGTTCACCGAAAGTGGGGAATCTCTGTTACCCCTAATCTGGATGAACGGACCCTTCGATTTGGTCGAGCTGGTGTTGCTTCCCGAATCGTAAGCGTACACGTCCTTTGCCGGTTCAGGTTTGGTATTTCCTTGTTTCTGCTGTTTGACTGGCTTCTTGGAGCTCGCCTTACTCTTGGCCTTCACTTTCTTTCCTAATTTCTTCTTCTTCGGCGCGGATTCGAAAGAAGCGGCATCGGAACTCCACCTTGGTGTCGTTGTTGCCTTGCGTTTGGTTTTCTTCGGCAAAGGAGACTTTTTTTTCGCTTCTGTTGTCGAAGTCACCGCCGTCTCGCTCTTCTGACTCGTCGATGGTATCGAGTCGTCGAGCTTCAGGAGAGGATCATCCAACTTCGAATCGTCCAAGTCCAGCGGGTCAGTTTTAATAGGATCGCTAAAATCTTCGATTCCGGCAAACATTTCTTCGAGTTTATTTTCTACTTCAACGAAGTGAGTGTTCGTGGCCTTCTTCTGAGCAGGCGTGACGATGGCTGTAGTAGTGATAGTACTCGCAGTGTCGGCCAAAACATCAGCGAGATGTTCCTTCGTTTTGATCACGCTCACAGAAATAGGCTTCGCCTGCGTTTCGAGTTTCTCATGTTCTTCAGGTTTTTCCACGATCTGCTGTTTCTGCTGCTTCTTTTCTTTCAAACCTTCCTGAACCATAGCTGCGATATTGTCTATCGTCTCAGATTCGGATGAGGCTTTTCGCCTCGTTGTAGCTGGAATCAACTCCTCTAATTCGTGTGAGGATTCGGCTTTCTCCGGACTCTTACCCTCTTCCAACATTTCCCCCACAATACTGATAGGATCTTTTTCTGGTTCGACCTGTTTTAATTCTTTGGAAATTGTTTCAATTGATTCTACTGGCGTACCCGTATCGTCAAGTTTCTCCTCATCTTTCGAAACCCTAATAGTTTTATTAGGTTTTCGCTTCCGCCTTGACTTATTACTGTCTAAGCTATCTTCATTACTGTAGGAAGAAACTGTGTCTTCATCTCTAATATTAGTAGACGTTGGAACGTTGAGAATACTGCTCGAATTACTATTGTCATCAAAACTACTTGTCGGCTGGACTATTACACTAACAGGCTTTTCGGTAATCTCCACTTTCTCCTCAGGTTTCTCGACAGGCACCTTACTGATACTTTCTTCTTGTTTGTGTTCTAAAACATGGACATTTTTCTCCAAGCAAGGATTCAACCTTTCCAAGATAGAATCCACCCTTATGTTTGATCTCTTCTGAGTTTTAATGACTTCCACTGTCGTCGAATATGGTAAATTCTGATTCACTACGGGTTTTAACCCAGGACTGGCTGGTTTCAGTCCAGGACTGATGGATTTCGGGACAGGACCGCTAGCTTTCAGAGCTGGACTCACTAACGCTAGGCCTTGACTAGCGGGCAACATACTCCGACTGGTTGAAATCAAATTCGAACTGAGAGGCAACATACCTGTAATACTAGGAACCATACCCGAAGGGGCAGAAGTCAGACCTGAAGTTGTGGTTGAGATCAAACTTGAAGTTGCAGAAATCAGACCTGGACTAGCAGATTTCGGAACCGGACTTGCAGATTTTAATCCAGTACTCGCAGACATAAGTCCAGGACTTGAAGATTTCAAGCCAGGACTTGCAGATTTCAACCCAGGACTTGCAGACATCAAACCAGGACTTGCTGATTTCGGAGCTGGACTGGAGGATTTCATGCCGAGTGTAGTAGCAGTTCTCAGATTAGGACTTGCAGAAACTAAACCCGGGCTAGCGGGTTTTGTATTGGGGCTCGTACTCTTTATAAGTTCTACTGCCTGAATCTCTAGTGCGCTAGGGGGTAAACTATTTATTTTATTGGTGTCTCTAACACTCAAACTGATAGGAATGGGAGCAACTTCGCCGTTTTGGTTACCGTTCCTAGTTAGGCTCAAATCAACGCAGTCTCTCGGAAAAGACGTGTCATTTTTGAACATTTCACTCAACACATGCGAGTGAGGATGTATTTTCATGGCTTCTGTCGTAGTAGGAGTATGCCACGTTGGTTGGTGTAGTATGGAATGTTCGTTTGACATGTGTGCCAACTGTGGTTGTCTTGGAAAAAACGGTACCTGAAAAAAAATAAGATAAGCGCGAATACATAAGGAAAACCCTCGATTTTCAGATATTAGGATCCTATGATATTTTGGTGGTTGATCCAGCAACCCTTCACCAAAGCTAAAAGAAACCCCTAAGTTTATAGAGGTAGTAATGAGTGAAGTTGACAAACGCATGGCATTTATCATGAAACCACAACTACTCAAAATATTCCGTCATCAAATTACATAAAACTATTTTTCCAATCAGACCTGTGGTGTCGTGAACGTTTTGGAAATGCTCATTAAAATAATACAATCCTACACTAATTTCAAACCACGATTCATTATAAATGATATGTACAAATTAGTAAATAACATTAAAAACATAACTCTTCCTGACAACCTGATGTCCGAAATGTATTTTCTAGTATTCCGCCAAATAGAAACAATTGGGTTGGTTGGGCGACAGAAACTATGTTAATTTGCTAATGCTCAAAATTATTTTCAATTCAATGACAATTTTTACTCTTGTAGCGAGGGTCCAATGATAGGAAACTACTTGAGCCCTTTGTTAACTGAAATTTTCATATACAACCTAGTTCTAGAGAATAAAATTCATACTAATAACCTGATAATGCAAGTGCACACATCTTAGGGTATCAAAGGATTAGCTTCTGATATAATTCTTGGAATGAACATTTTATACCGCGAAATCTAGATAAGAAACCACGTAATCGGACCAGCCAAATCTCCACCTAAACCCGTGCTTTTACCGCCTCTCACCATCCGTTCCAAAGAGGAGAATCAGCTGCAGGAATTCCTGAAAGTTGAACTTCGACCGTTCAAGCCCGTCGAACCCCGATCTTATTAAACACCACAACCCTCGGATGTAAGAGGACCCCACAACCCTCGAATGTAAGAGGAACCCGATATGGACGTGCTTTACATGACTTTCACGATCGGATAAACGCCAAATTGTTTGAGGCCATGGAAAAGGCTGACCGAGCGATAGCCATCCGCAATGCCCTGAAAAAACCTCCACGACCGCAGTCTCCTGAGGAGTATCTGGTGCGCGATATAAACCTGGGACCCAGCCAGGAAATGCTCAAAACATGGAGGAAATCGTCCATCACTCGGTAGCAGGCACCCATCCTGCTACCGCAGGACCTACCGCCCCGTCCCTAATCCAGCTGTGTTTGAAGGCACATCTACGCTTTCAGTGACTTATACTAGGCCAAGGACGGTGCCAGTTTTCGAAGTCATAGGCCAGATCACCACCGACACTTGGCCGAGGAACACGAGGTGAACCGGCGATGTGGAGAATCAGGGCACACGTGCCGCGAATGCCGCCTCAACATTTCTGTTACCGGTGTGGACGAGTAGGAACGATGTCACGAGAATGCGACTGTGTCATCCACCATTGTCAGTTTTTTTGGTCTGAACAATATAAAATTCAATTATCTTTCATTTCTCATTTCATTTTGGGGTTCAAATAGCAATTCTTATTTCAATGCATTATTTGAATCAAGATAGCTTTGAAACGGCATGTATTTGATTTACTCACAGAATTCTCATTGACAGTTGTTATACTTCACACTTCATCAAAATATTTACTGTTCACTAAAATGAAGTTATCTTTTACATTCATATTCTGACGGTAGTTCATTAAACATACTATACATTTTTTCATTATTCAACTGAAACAACAACAAAATATGAATCACATTTGAGGCTTCCCTCTTCGAAAAGCAGCATCCTGTCCTTTCCAGGAAGGTGTAGGCCAAGACTCGCCGAACACACACTCTCTTATTGACGACACTCGCATTGGACATGCCTGACAGTTTCATCTTCCTGTTCACACATCCTGCATAGAGGTGTATCTACTAGCCCAATATTATGGAGGTGTTTTCTTAGTTGACAGTGCCAGTCAGAAATCCTACTGTTAAGCGTAGATTTATTCTGGTCATCGACAGATATTTCTTCGGCGCCAGCTTCCCAGGGTCGTCCAGGGTTATCCTGGCAAAATTGCATCCTTTAATTTCATCCCATATCTTTAGGGATTGAGCATAGGTGTGACGTTTGGCTAGTTCTGCAATGGTCGAAGTCATAAGACCGTAGGCGCCACTGGGTCCTAAAATTCTTAGCCCAGCTGCTTCCTTGGCTAAAGAGTCAGCAATGCGATAACCTTTACTCCTTTTTTTTTCTGATTGATTCGGCCGTTACTTGAAAATCCACAGTAATTTCACAAACTACACCTAAACGATTTGATGGAGATCAAATCGTTTAGGTGTAGTTTGTGAAACCTTTACTCCTGTTATGCCCTTTAACCCACCTCAGGATAATATTATTATCTACCGAGGTTTTGGCTAAATCTTGGTGGCACTCTAGTACTATCCCTGAGGTTACACGTTGACTGGTCAAAGCTAATAGGGTTTGTCTGCTGTCAGTGCAGATTGTAATGTTTTTGCCAGACATTCCTTTCCTGGTTATTTCTTTTGTGGCGATTGAAATGCCAGCCAGTTCTCTTTGAACTGGAGTGATCTGGAGTACACTCCACATCCTGAGCCTTCTTTGCTTTTTGAGCCATCTGTATATATACGTATTGTATTTGTAGCATCTGACTCTGTGTTCCGCCCTTATTCTCTCCTTCATATTTGCCAAGTATCCCCATAGAAAAAAATCAAGGCAAGTCGAATCTGGTGATCTCGCTGGTCAATTTTGTGGTCTTCTATTTATTCGGAAAGCACATATTCAAAAACTGTCTGACACTGAATTTGAAATGTGCCGGAGATCCATTCAATTGTAACCACATCCGTTGTCTGATATTTAGCGGCACAATCTCCAGAAGCTTAGGCGGATCATGTCGTATCCTGGTGATCCAGAGTGCGGACAAAATGAGGATTCACATCACTATGATTCCAGTATACTTGTACAGAACCCATAAGACAAAACTCGATTCATCGATGGAAGACTATTTCTTATAATTCCTGGTACATCTGAATACGGTACGGGTAAAATTTGTATTTTATTTTTTTACTCTAGAAATGCTCCATCTGCTTATCCCTGTATCTTTCTCGGTCATTCTGTATAATATTGAGAAACGGGTTTTATCGAAATCAATAACCCAAAACCTCTTTTATGCTTGGTCAGAATTCGAAGGGATGATTTCTATACATTTCAATGTTATTTGATTTCCAATTGTACCTAGCATTTTCATAAAAAAATCAGTAACTCGAGAACAGACACAGTTAAGTACATAGTACATTTCATTAAATCATATTATGTTTTCCTGGCCTATTAAAAAATGTAACAAAATACAGGGTGTTCAATTAATAAAACACATCTTTCACTGCCTGAACCACTGTGCATGCTGTTTACGGCGAGTGCATTGGCTTGGGATGTGGAGGTTGAGCAAACCGTGGTGTGTGGTTCTGTTATTCCCTAACGGAATGGCTTCCCAACGATGGCTTAATCCTAAGGTGTGTGTATCCTTGCCGAGACGATGAATGAAACTGAGCCTACAGCTGTCTCTACAAAACCTTCGCGATACCGGGCGCCCTCTCGTCGTATCATCGCCTTGTCACGGTAATGCGGGGCACTGCCGTGATTGACCTTCTTTCCCTAGCTATTCGTGGGACTTTTATGGACAGATTTAGAGTTCGGCAGAGCCGTACTCTTACCATCTGACCTGAAAGACCACTCACCATACAAACTAATCGGCTTCGTTGAGAAGCTGGGTTTATTTGACCGAGTATGAATAGGTGAGCCACAATAAACCCTTGCGGGTTGCGGTGGAGGGTCGAATAGACCCAATCACTTTGGACCTAACCTAAGTCTCCAAAATAATTTCCTCCTGCAGCCTTAATTAATATACATATAATGAAATGGTGAAATTCTCGAAGAAATTAATGATTTGGTTTATAGGGACCATATCGTACGGGTTGAAAAACATAATAATACCAAAAATAACATACAATATTGGAGCAATTCCAATAAAAACCGAAGAAAAAATATTTTATATAAAGCGGAATTGTCATTTGAAACAAATAAAAATCTTTGTATAACCTGCGAAAAAGAACATACACATTTAACACATCACCAAAACAGCAAAATAAAAACAAATAAATTATTCAAACTTTTCAAGTATAGTCAAAAAATAATCTAACGCAAGTACACTTTATTAGCAAGAATCATCCTCAAGTCTTACTTAAATTTTAATTTGTTGTTAGTACTTTTCAGGGCAAGAGGTAATTTGTTATATATCTTTATTCCGATATACACAATCAAATCTTTCACTAGGGACGATGTTGGTATAGACAGCATAAGCTGATGAGCTTGTTTTGTAAAATGACTTGTTTGTGATAGGTAAACATTTTCATTTTTGTGTATTAGACAGAAAGTTTCAAAAATGAACAAGGAAAATACAGTTGGAATTTTATTCATTTCACAAAGAGATCTGCAAGTTTCATTCCATTTTCCTCCTCACATATATCTTATAGGTTGTAAAATAAAAACAGAATATAAAAGCTGTGTTCAGAATCAATCAGGGCACAACAAACATTTTTAGCCACATATATCTCAACTCGTGTGAAACTTAAAAGCAACAACAATTTCTTGGGAAAGTTTTTGGTTTTCTACTGCTCCATCTTGATACAAAAAAATGTGAGAATCTTCGAAACCCCTTCAATTCAAACAATTTCTTGTTTAGTGCTTCAACATGTTCCTCAAATTTTCATCTTATTCTATGTTCATCTCTAAACATTTTGTGGATATATAATTATGAATAGTGAGAAAAACCAGGGATAATTGAAAAATGTAAAGGAATAAGGTGTCTTTTAAAACAATTGAACACATTTCAAACACATTTTCAAGTACTTTTTCTTAACATTTTCAGCATGTAGGGATTTCAAATTTCCATTCCCCTACTGTCATGAAATTCGTAATGAATTATGAACATAAAACCAAAATTACCAAAAAAAAACATTGTTACCTGTTTCATACCTTGAAAATTTACAATCAAGTTTGATTTAAATCCATTAAAATATTTCAATCACATAGACGAGACAAACCAGGTAAAACCCGTTTCAAAAAATCGAGTGTAAACTGCGAATCAAGAACAAAAAATGAATTCCAAAAAAACTGAATTTGCAAAAACTATCTTGAGGGTCTCGTCAACAAAGCAGAAACAGACGAGTAGAAATTCCAATTTACATGGGGAATAAAGTATTGGAGAACAAGTGGCAGCACGGATCCTGAAAATGTATTCTCAAAAAAAAATTAACGAAATAATTTACTTGATGAAAAATTATTATGAATGCCATGTAGTCGATAAAGCTACAAACCCAGAGAAAAAGAGATACATGATGATATTCAATGCTCATTTTGATTCAATTCTAAAAATGATATCAAAGGAATTGTACTTCTTATCTAGGATTTCAGCTTAATTTACCAAGTACCTACTCAGAACTAGTTTTGAACCATATAATTAATAATGAGCAGTTAACCTCTGGACTTCACATCTTATACTTTTTAACTTCACATCCTTAGTTTCGCGCGAGTTTGTCGGAGCCCACTGCAGTTGGTGAGCGGCAGTTTTTGAGACTTTTATTTAAAGTATGTTAATTTTGATAAGTGTGCTAGTTAACTGTATTCATTGGAGTTTAAGAAAACGCTGGCATTACAAAAACTTCCAAATCGGCATTACAAAAACTGCAATATCTTGGTATGATTTTAATATTCCCTTCTGTCGTTTCAATTTCAGGGGCGTTCAACATTTTTTAGATAATTCATTCGCACCATGATGATGTTCTTTATTCCAAATTCATATTGAACCAAAGCACTGCCGAAACAGCCCGAAAAATCAACCAGGCATTTGGCAATGATAGTGGTAGTGAATGCACTGTTCTATGTGGTTTGCGAAATCTTGTTCCGGAGATTTCAGCCTCATAGATGTGCCGCAAAGTGGTCGACCTACAGTAATCCAGGTCGAGGATTTAAGGACCCTGGCGGAGACTGAACCATTACAAATGGTTCGTGGAATGGTGGAAGAACTGGGCGTCATCTCCCATGCAATGGGGAATGTTCCTCAATTTGGGTTATTACAGCAAATGCAAGTTTGAACAAAATAAAGTTGAGTTTAATTCATGAGTTTTTCAAATTCACTTCGAAAATTGTTCAAATCTATGTTTCAAATGTTGGGTTTCAATTTTTAAAGGGATTTGTTTCTAATTCACATATTGGCAACAGCGCCTATATCAAGTTGAAATTATTTATACGTACCTAGATATTCTACTTTAAAAAAGGAAAATTATCTTTATAAATCAACAATTAAGGCAAAATATAAATTATAGTTCAATACCACCTCCACAAGCCGCATAAAAAAAGTTGTTTTGTTATTTATTTATATAGAGGAAGATAGGTTAGGTGCACGAAATGTCATATGTTACAGAATGTCTCGGAACTCGGAACATAAGTAAACAGAACAGCACGCCTCTGAAATATGTCATCTTTGTTTGTCTCATACAGGTAACAGATTCATTGTCCTTTATTAGCTATAACCGATGTTGTCAAATGGTGAAATAGAAACCAATCCCTTTAAATATTGAATGCATTATTCAATTCCTCTTTCTTAAGTATTTAAATAATTTCTTAAAGAAAAAAGTTGAAATGATAAGTTTAAAATGCGTTGTTTTAGAGCTCTTTTATGAAAACTACTTGATTTTCGTCGGGAGGAACATTCCCCATTATTGATGGTTAAAAATATATTTGAAAGGTCAAACAGGTCGAACTATGGATGCCCCACAATTTGAACGATCAACAGAAATTGTCAAGTTTCGAGGTCTGTTCTTCTTTGCTTTTGGACAACCAAAAGAATTATTTTTTGGCTCAGATCGTCACGTGAGGTGAAAAATGGATCCTCTACAACAGGAGACCTTTAGGACAGTGGTTGGACACCGATGAGCCACCCATGCACTTACAGCGGCTGGTGTGATTCACTAGAACATTCTGCAGCACAGTCCTATTGCGAGGAAATCGACGAAATGTACGTCAATGTACTAGTCAACGGAATAAATCACCACCCCAAAATTAAACAAATGGAGCGTCGAAGTTCTGCCTCAACCATCATACTCCCCAGACATTTTGCCAACTCACTACCATCTTTTCAAGCACTTCGCCAATCAGGACCAGGCAGAAACGGCCTTCGTCTACGTCATCGAATCCCGAGCACCCAATTTTTATGCTGACAGAATTCATCAACTTGTGTTACATTACCACTCATTTCCATTAAATCGATTAAGTATACACTGAGATATTACAGTTTAAAGTAAACTCATAAAGACGAACAAAACTTTTGTAACAACCTAATAATTCAACTGGTGTAACTTTATTCTTGCTTATTTTCTGTCTGACAAAATAAAAAAAAAATACAAAAATTAGTAATGGGAAATCCACACAAAATATCAATGAGGTATCTTTTGAAATATAATGTTGATTATGAATTGAGAATAATCACTGAATCTACCATATCCGTAATGATCACTAAAGAAAGATTATTTTCTCTGCATTATTGTTTGCCAGATGCTCCATTATTTTACTCAATAAATGGCGTTGTATGATTGGAAAGAAACCCATTTTAATAACGTTACTGTAACTATTGAAAAAATCTGTTAATCTCAGTTTCTCTGTCTCCCCCCATACAAATGACATCTCTCAAAAGTCGAAACTTGTGCGAGCTAAGGACTAACGAGGTCTTACCTTTTAAGGTGTGATTCCTAACATGGATTGGACGATAGGTAGTGAAAATTGATCATCTGACCTTGTGGTTTGAAACACTTGTTCTCACAACAGTCAGACTGACTGAGTGCGACTCACTGTACACCTCAAACCACCAGATTACTGTCCCACTTTTTCGTTGAACGTTACAATAAATGCATTTACAACAATCCAACATTATATTTGAGAGTTGGCAATTAGTTAGATATCAAGTGTAAACATTATAATACAAAATACTCCCCCTTTTTCAAGTGAAATACGGTCTATTCTTTTTATCTACCAATGAAATAAATACTTTTCCAGAGACACTGTGTTTTGGACAGCTGCGAACTAATTTAAAAATTATACAAAACAGCTCTTTAGGTTTTTTGATGAAAATTAATTCTTATTATTAACAGCACTTGAATGAATACTGATCATGAAAGACAAACGTCACTTTGAAGTCTTCTATATCTAATTTACATATAAAGATTTAATCATCAAAAACTGAGATCCAGTACACTTCCGATATTTCAGAATTCAAAATTAAATAATTTATTACTAGCTCACCATTTTTACATCAGATATGAGAATGTTTACTTATTTTTAAATAAAGAATATCAAGTAAAAAATTAGTAGCTAATTCGCTATAGCTGATACCCATTGAAAAACATTCAATTGTTACATTTTTTCAGAAACAATTGTCAAAACATACCAATATGTGTTTGTATATTACCTTCTTCAGACAAGTCTATAACATTGGACTTGTGTGACAATATCTCAATACAATGAGTTATTTTCAATAAATTCATGGATTTTCAAGAATCAGACAAATCCGTCAAAAAAATCGTTGTTTAGTTATTAAAATTATTCATGATCAAATAACTCAAAAAAGTTATAGAGGGGGTGTCAGTGATCTCAATTTGTTGCATACTTTCACCTACCCATTTCACATTTATTGCAAGTTATATTGTAAACATTACTTCCTTGAAGCATTATATTCAAAAAATTTTGAAATAGTGTTGTTTAACCGAGTTCACATTCAATATACGAGTATTAATTTATGAAAAAAGTAGAGCAATTAAATGAATAAATTACCTGTAAATGATTCCAAGCAGCATTAGCGAGGTTAGCAGCCGGAACCTGCCGGTTATGTGGATGATGTGGAGGCCCTCCAGACATCTTGAAAATAATGTCTTCAATTTGTAAATACACACTTTAGAGCCCCATCATAAGTCAGGTTACATAATATCTTATCCTAAATTGTATAGGATTTATCTACATAAAATGGCCATGTCCTCAAGATTCAGCTGAATCTCATTGAAATCTGCAACCACAGAATGTTTGATAACAGACGTTTCATCAAAACAATTGAAAATACAACGGAAGAAATTATCAATAAAGTGTATTTTGTGCGATTATTCGATTGTTATGTTTCAAGTGTAATGGATAAGAAAAAAATAATTAAGAAAATATCTAATGTTGAATAATAAGTTAATTAGTCTTAGTCATCTGCATTGTTATATAAACCCTCTCTGAATATTTAATAAGATTTCAACAATTTGTCACTGGCTTAACAATATAAATAACATTGACCGTACTAACAATTTTGACAATGTTCGAATTTGAGTTCTCCCATTTTTCCACTGCAATAATTGATGGAATTACTGAGATGAAATGAAGAACATAAAAAAACAAAAAGGATTATTTTAGTTTCGGAATCGTAACATAAAAATTTGAAAGATAATTACTTCTCAGTTTTACTCCACTTTCCCCCAATAAAAATTAAGTAATATCCAAAATGGTTTTCCTTCATTAATATTTTCAGATTGTGGATGTTTGGAATATACTTGGTCATATATATATATAAGTAGATTTCAAGTCCCTAATATGTAAAAAATTTAGGTCTTTTTCCAAACTGAATCTTTTAGAATTCTATTGAAGTAAGGAATTCATGAACCTCTCTCACTGATAATTTGTTGGTCATTTTTTATTGAGTGGTGGTATATTCATTTCAATTTCATTGTAGCATTAAAAAAAGCAAGAACCTTCAGTAAAACATAAGTTTATAAACAGGAGCAAGAACTACAAGGTGCTTCGATTTGTTTTATTATTTATGAGTCTATCAGGTAAAGAAATATTTTTAAATGTGAAAAGCATAATAAACTGTTCAATACTAAGTTTTGAACTTCCTGTCATTATAATTTATCTATATGACCAATGCAAATAGAAATTAGGTTAATGAACTATGTAGTACCAAAATGATCAAGAAAATTAGGGATACATAAGTAAAAATGAGTTCATTATACACCACTGAAGCACTGCACAACCTTGATTTTCAAAAACGCGATTCATTCCTGCCAGAATTCATCCAACTACTGAAAGAAACTAGAACTTTCATCTCAAATTGTCTTAAATTACACTAATACTTCCATAAATGCATTACTTGGCGATGTTACTAAAACTACTATAAATTATTTTGAATTTGCTCAAATCATATTTGCCTTTTAAATAGCTAGATATTAATGAATAATACAAATGTTAGAAATTTTAATACCGATAATTCAAAGAAACCTAGTTCATTAATGATTATGCTGAAGTTCATTAAATAAATACGGAAACCAAATGAACCTAAAACTCACAAATATTCGAAAATAGTAATTATTATTACATGTGGACAAAATAAAAATCTGGAAGTTGTAAGCCATTTATATGAACCAAATCGATGTTTAAAAAACACACAACCACATCACCAACAATAAACACACTGTGAATAATTAGACGCCATTTCATAAGCAGTGCAAATTCCTCTTTCAAACACACCTGAAATTTCAAGGCGACTTGTTCGCTCACAAATATTGTCTGCAAAAATGTTCGAGGCACGGCCATAAAAGTAGCCAATACGCAACAATGGCGGACCCGGTTTTGTTAATTTTTGAACAACGTCAGCGCCATCTTTCATACAAGCCCTCCGTCGTATATTGAAAAATTATTATTTTATTGAATCAATAAACTGAATAGCTTTTTTAATTTTTAGACTTCAGTGTGAAAAAAAATGAAATCTTCGAAAGTAATAGAATCTTAAGTGTCGGAACCAAAATTTTTTCAAATCGTTCATATATAATAGGTAGGATTGTTATAACCTTTTATGTGATATATTTTAAATATTCGAATTCTAAATGATTTAATTTTTTGGAAAATACGATGTCCATTCGTGTTGTATTTTCTCTGGTCCACTGACTGCCTGTAAATAAGTATCAACTGTCTATAGATGAATGACATTAAATTTTGATGAAAAATCTTTTTTGACGACATTGACACATTTTCTCACCTCAAACTGGTTTAAATCGTATCTACAAGATTTTCTCCCTTTCGTCTTGGCTTTTTATTATTTTTCAGATTTTCATCAAATTCCAAGTTTTTCAGTTTGCTTGATTTTGGCGGGCGTTTTTGTAATTCTACTATGGCTGGAGTGTTGCCAAAATGAAATAAGTTGGATACCAAGTGACCAAAAAAACATGTAAACGGTGATAAAAGACCATTATACCTGTGTCTACAATTAAAAATTGAAACGTATTGGACTCTGGAGGATGAGAGGTTAAGACGGCAGTTTAACATTCGAATAGTTTTTTAAGAGATGAATGTTTGATTTTGGTGTGTTTAAGCAATTTTAAGTTCGTTTTGCATATAATTCACGTGTTATTAACATGTCATTCAATTGCCTTTGATATGTTAGTAGCTCCGTTTACAAATTCACATCTGAATACATATTGACAATTTGAAATGATATTTTTCTGTTCCGAGAAACAAGTGAGTCGCATATCGAAGGTGCTGTCCATGACCTCTGAAACTGAATTGTAGGCCTATATTCTGTAATACCTAGCAAAGGCTACGTATTTTAGTTTTTCTTTTTTTTTTTTTCAAGTATAGAAGACTCATTTTAATTCAGAAATTGAAACGCCAAGCTTGGCGCCTCGTAAAAATTAATGACGTAATGACTATGTATCCATAGGCCTCTTAGCTTAGCTGAATCACATCGTGTGTGGGCAGAACGACAGAAAATCTGCTGCCACTCAACCAAGGCGGGGCCATAGGCTAATTAATCATAAGTTTGACAAATCGAGATCAACTCAGGGAAAAAATAATCTCTCGCAATTGATCGAGGAAGGTTACAAAAAATCATGATGCGGTAAGTGCGATTTCTTTGAAGGTTTTTGAAGACAGTCTTGGCGGGGAGCCATGCAGAGAAAGTTTGTCGGGAAAGTGGCGTCAAGTGCTCCGAGAAAAGGAGTTTAATACGGAAATCGGGTGGTTAACTATTTTCTTCCGTAGGGGGATCAACAGTGTTTGAAATTTGGGTGGGAATCGAACAGTTTAGTGAGTAAATAACGGTTATTACACATGTACAGTTATCTCACCACCGCCTGTACAAAACGTACCGGCTAATCCTGCCTAAATTTAATAAATGTATAAATTGAGTGCTTCATCTTGTAATGTAATCCAAATTGGTACTGAAGAGGCAATTGGGCAAGTGTCTTTTTCCTAAACTTCGAATGTCCACCTTTGAGGATGTCAATTTTCCATGTGAGTGAAATGTTACCTCTTTCATATACTATATTGTATGGCAATCCTGTGAATGATATCTAATTCAATTCCATAACGGATGTTTGGAGTATAAACTAAATAGAAAATAGTTTTTTTTTGTATAATTCAATGTTCATATAATAGTAGGTATTTCCAAAGTTTTTTTCTTCCTTGTAATTCGATGCTTATTTGAAAGTATTTGTTTAAAGAAATACAGTTCACGAATTCGTAGTCTCTAAATGATACCATTTCAGTGATAAAGTTGAGGCGCATTCATAACAAAGTTTACCAACGTCACATAAAATAACTATAAAATACAAAATGAAACACAAGAACGCAATGAAAAGTGAACAAGCTTCACGTTCGTTTACAGTCGTGTAATAAAAAGTGAGGTTGATAACTATACTACCAAATTATAGCTCATATATACAGATATCATTGTTTTGGCGGGAACCTGACTGTCGCTACTGTATGGTTTGGAATACTTGAATTCTCTGCTGAAAGAAGTTGGGTGGCCGTACCAATAACGTCCGTCCACAAAGAAGGTACGCGGATGCCACGTGCTATTGTGGGGCTTAAATTTATGTTGTGATTGTCTATTGTGCAAAAATGTTGAAGTTTATGTAAAAATTCAGACAAAAATGTGAAGCGAAGGCCATGTATGTGCATTTAAAAACCTGAAGGTCTCCCGAAGAGGAGACAACTCTTGTGAAGAAATCAAAAGGTTTTCTGAGCAGAAGGCGACAATAAAAAAGTTGAATTGTTTTCATCGTAAAAAAGTTAGACAAAAAAAGGGTGGCAGCATTGCTTCGAGCGAGACCGCTACCCCCACCCCTACAAAGCTCCTGTCAGCTTTGATAGGAGGAGCCTGGACAAATGCCTCCGAGTGGGAAGCAAAGTCCAGCAAAATTAGAGTGAGAGAGAGAGAGAATTCTGTGCCCCATCCCATGTTTTTTGTTCTGTCATTGTCATTCTTCTGACCATAATTTTGACGTAAATAACAAGTATGTCCGCTCAAGGAGTCCGCGGAATTTCTAGGGTTTTAGAGAAGTTGGAGAAATCTATCGAGGATGGACATTTTTATGAAGCCCATCAAATGTATAGAACCTTATACTTTAGGTATAATTTTTTTTACATCGAATCGCTCGCAGTTTCTTGAAAGTGCATGACATAACCTTAACTTTTTAGATATATGGGCCAAAGAAAATTCAAAGAATTGAAGGATATGCTCTACAGTGGTTCTATATTATTTCTAGAACATGACCAGGTATTGTATGATTGTCTAATTGATCCAACTTTTTTCTATATAACTTGTAGCAATTGAGTGGATCTGATTTGGGGCTACTGTTGATTGAAGTTTTGGAAAAATCGGAAGATTTTGATTGTGACTTGTGGTCTCCGAAATTGACCAAGATTTTTTGTAAAATAAGTGTTTCTACGCCCGAGAGAGAAACTTTCTTAACACATGCTATTCGTTGGTCATCTAAAGGATCTTCATATGGTCACCCTCTTCTCCATCAGGTATACATTTTATGGTTAATATTCGTTTTAATGGCTCGAGCTATTTTTCGAAAAAAAAAATTATCAAATCACTTAATTTTCTGCTAATCACAAATCTAGACTCAAAACTGATTGCTCTCATCTATTTTTGGAGACACTAGTTTGATAAAACTGTTTCAGTAATAAAAACTCATAAAATTATACCTTCTCTTCATGATCTCTTGCTGCTGAGCTTTTTTTTACCCTTTTCACACAATAAAAAAACAGAATCTTGTTTTAAAGAAACAGTCAAGTAAAGAAAAATATGTTGCCAGATTTCTGAAATTTGACTTAGACAAAAACATTAATTTTTTTAAAGCATTCTCTTTCATTCAATGCTACTTGTTAATTGAGCCTTCTTTTCTACAAATATGAAATCAATTGTGGAAGGCTTATGATAAATGACAAAAATAAGTTGATAGTTGTATAAATTGGACATCACAGTCATTTAAAATTTACTTTTGTAACAGTTCCAATGAAACCAATGAAAAAGTTCCTTGTAAAAGTATTGTTTAGTTCCATAAACAATCATAATGTGCTTGGAATGCTTGGAAAGAAACAGTTTTGAGGAAATTAAACATATGGGAAATAATGGAAGTGAATAAAAGTCCACAGCATATGCTCGTGAAAAAATGTCATTTTGATAGTATTTATTATCGAAAGTGAGTTACTGAAATAGTTGACTTTTTGACTTCAATTGGTTTATCGCTATTCTAAGTTTTGACTTCAGATTCGTGATATACAGATAAAAGTCTAGTCACAAAATTTTCAAATACTATTGCGAACCATTAAAATGAGTACCACACATTTTGATAATCACTGAATATCACATTTTCCATCTTTTTAGAGGATAGCACAAATATACTGGAAAGAGAAAAATTACGCTCAGGCACGATATCATTTCATTCACTCACAAGATGGGAAAAATTGTGCTAAATTGTTAATAGAATTCCAAAGCACTCAGGGCTTCAAAGGAGAGGCAGATTTATTCATAGCTCAAGCAGTTTTGCAATACTTGTGTTTGAAAAACAAACATACAGCAAACCAGACGTTTACAAGTTATACGGAACAACATCCGAGAATACAAAAATCAGGCCCGCCATATTTGTTGCCACTTCTTAATTTCATTTGGTTTTTACTCCAAGCCATAGAAAGGTACTCACAGATATATTTTCGCTTTCACATTCGCTTTCAATTTTCACTGTTACTATGACTGATTTTTAAGTTTTTGAATAAAGAAAGCCTCAAAGAGAATAATAATGAAGCTTTATTGTTCCATGGAAATATATTGCTTTAAAGTCAATTGATAAGAGACCCATTTTGAGGTATTACCTCTCATCAGTGATGGAGAAATGCGATACAAAGAGCAGTGTGCCTGGGACTCTATTGATTTTAACGCAGTCCAACTGGATGTGTGAAACATTTGTCAGAGAGAGATTGTTAATTAGTAACAGCTTCATCTCGTGAACAAAACCCCAAGTGAGGAAGAAACGTCGCATATACTAATACTCTGACAGAAATTAATATAATGTGGACTGTATTGAGGAGGGATAGATACGTATAAGAAAATAAAATCTCGAAACATTCCTTTCTCCCAACGTACCTGAACTGCACAGAGGTTAGTCTCGCAGATGTTTCTCGTTTATCCAGCAGCAGAACCACTTTGTATCAACTGGGGAAGTAGTTGTTTACCTGCAGACACTTGCAATCCGCTCCGTTAGGGGCTTATTTGAAACTAAATTGAGGTGTTTTGTATCAATTATTATCGATTGTAGAAATTTAAACTTATTTTCGCTCTAAAGAGGTGAATTACACCTGAGACTAAAGATAACTACTGCCACTGTTAGTAGCTGCTCAACATCGGGGGAAGCCTAATTTCAAAAAACAATTTTTAAACAATATAGGAATAACAAAAAAAGCTCAAAATTCTGTGCATTTTTGCCTCTACAATAAACACACATCAAAAAAGTCTAGGGATATTTTTAAAACCAGCCCTGATTTCTCTATGAATCGTTTTGAATAAATGATAGTCGGTTTGTGGTGATTAAACGTACGTAATGTGCAAGAAAATTTATTGAAATGTCGAAAATAAAAAGTGTTCATAAGTACAATAAAAAAAACTATATTGTTCTTTAATCACAAAAAAATGTTCCTAGTAAAAAACAAAATTAGTACAATGTTGAAGTAGGTTAGGAATGCTCGAGGGCATTCAGGTCGGGGGATTGTGCTGGCTATGGCAATACATCAATGCCTTCATTGGCGAGCCAGTCAGTCACTTCACTGGCAACATGCAGACGAGCATTATCATGCATGAGGTGGAAGTTTTGACCAGCAGCACCAGTAAACAGATGAATGATAGGTTGAAGAATGGTGTTGAGGTACTGCTGAGCTGAAAGAGATCAATTTGGAAAAACGTACACCATTACTGTACCAATTTTGTATATGTGAACTTCATAGATATGTCATGAGTGTTCTACATCTCTAGATCGTCTCAGGGAGAATGAAATCCAAATCTGCATCCCAGGGGGATACCAGAAGTACCCGGCCCAACAAAGAAAACTTTCCCAGCGACTTTCAATGAGTGTGAGCAAACGCGGCACATATTATGCACACAGCTTTCTCATGTCAAAATTTTCAGATAATATACAATGTACCGCATTTTTTGAAATGCCTATTAAGTCTGCTAGCTCACGCACTTCCAGTACCGCTTTGCGGATTTCCTACACCATTTCTGGATTCGTTACCCCATTTGGTCAACGACATGATGCTCGTCTTGGCAGCTCGTATGTTTAAACTCTGCTAACCAATATTTTACTGTTGTAATCGAAGGAGGAGACTCACCCAGAGTAAAATCCAGTTCAGCCTTTATATTGGTTGGACTGAGGACTTTTTAATAAAAGTATTATACCACGTAAAGATGATCAATTTTCAGAAATTCACCATGGCTGCGAAACAAATACTTAACAACCCAGCGTCTTCAAATTTGAAACATATGTTTTATAGATTGTGTACAGTGATATTTTTCGAACTACCGCCATCTCTAGGTCAGGTCGGGTACTTCTTGGACAACCCTCGTATTCTTGACACCACTCTAATCTTGCAGTGCGATTGCATCTGGCCAAAGGTGGATATCTATGTAACCTTCGACTGTGGAGATTTGCTTTGTGGAGTCATTTTCTTACAGTACCACAACCTATAGTTAACCTGTGCACCTGCTGCAAGTTCCAAACCATTTGAAATACTGTATTTGTAGGTTGTTTTCTAGGTAGCGTTTAAAATAAAAATTGATCTTGAGCTGCAGTTATAGCTTGTCCACGTCCTGGATGTTATTCAGCTGGACTTCCAGTTTCAAAAAAAGCCGCCACATTCCATTTATAACACTTTGGGTGACTCCCATTTGAAGAGCTACATCAGTTTGCCGCATGTCATCTTTAAGAAAGTGCACAGCTTTACTTGTCTCATCCAAAGTTGAATGATGTCATTCCATAATAGAACAATATTTTTTAACAACAACTGTATAACATGAAAAAAATCGACACTTCCAGATTATTCATAGCAGTATAAAAACTATGATTTATATGTGAAATTGATAAACTATTTGTTTTTTTTGCGGTTCTGTTTAACCCAGAGAAATCTACAGGGCGAACAACTGCACCAATTCAGTTGAAATTGAACGAAGTCATACATTTTTTTTATAAATTAATTTTAGAAAGTTTCTAAAATATTCCTAGACTATTCCAATTGAAAGTAGGCAATAACTTAAATCAAACTAATGATGTAAAATTTTGTAATGCCAACAAAGCTTATTTGACCTGATTACTGAGGTCCAAATGTTTATTTTTTTTTTGTATACAATAACTGGTACTGTACTTAATATTTTTACATTGCAATTATTCTGTTGTTGATCAAGATATATAAATCAATTTTTATTTTAGCCAAAAAATACAAACATTTGCCGTTCTTTGTGAGCAGTATGAGCCATCATTGAAAAGAGATCCTTGCTACGTACAATATCTAGACAAAATAGGACAATTATTTTTTGGTCTGAAACCTCCTGAACAGCAGAGTGGTGGTTTCTTAGGAAATATCCTAGAGAACTTCTTCAGTGGTTTAGATGATGATAGCGACGACGATACCCCTCAAGCATCAACGTCAGCCTCTGTCAGTAAAAATAATTTGATTGAAACTGCAGATTTGGACTAATATCCATTGAAACGCTCCAAGAAATATCGAGTGTGGCAGAATATTCATATAATAGTGAATCGTATTTTGAATAATTGAATACAAAGATATTGATTTCTGTAACATTTTTGAAAAACTGACTACGAGTAGTTCCGAAAATTTCATATTTTATTTTCAATTAAATTTCATGCTTTGAAAGCATGGAGATTTATTGTCAACAGCTTTTTTCCTGATATGTTGATATAGAAACTCATATTCCAATATCATCACGGTGTGATAACAGAAATACTGTTGTTTTTTAATATCGATCTTTTGCATAAGATATGGGTCAAATTAAAAGTGAAGTTTTTATGAATCCAGTAGTTTGTAAAAATTGAAAAGCTGTACTGCTAAAAAACAGTGAAAATATATTTCATTTGTGTTTCATCACTTTGAAAAATTGGACAACTGATAATTTTATTTTCTTTCTTCCTGTCATAGTTTAGGGTTACAGAAAGTGGAATCAATGTATATGGTTTGAGAGGCTGTTACTAAACCAAGACATTTTCATTGTATAAAGAAATATAATTAATATCTTGATTCTAGAGAGTATCTTATAAGGGGAGAACTATAAACTAACCGTATGTTTTTTTCAAGATGTGAGAAAATACTTGATTAGAACAGCTCAATGTTTTTTTTTTTCGAGAGAGCATACTGATACTGAATCGAAAGAAGTCTGCGTCTGCTAGTCATGTGAAAACGTAGGAATGTAGTAAAATGAAAATTTTGATTATTCTTTCACACTCAATATGTAATTAATATAGCTTAATAATTTGTTTATGGATTAACGTTGACATTTTTTTTCTGTTGTGATAAGAAGCCCCGTAATTTGAGTACTTTATTTAATTTTTTGAAATAATTTATATATTTTAGAAAAATCTTATATATATTTGAATATACATTGTATGCATGATTGATAGTTTTCATTAATTTAATTTTTGTAGACATCATATTTTCATATCAATGATATTCATGAAATTTTTAACTTTTATTGTTAATAAAAATATATTTTGAGCAACAATAAATTGAATTTATTACAATTTTGGTTTTTATTTCAGTAAATTTTATTATTTAGTGAGATTGATACCCATTCAAAGCTATTTTCAATGTAGTTAGACTTTTGTTTTTTATACGACTCTAGGAAAGTCGAATAATAATAATAACGATTTATTTTTCCAACAAATGTACCTATGTATGTATATGTTTGTAGTTGGGAAAAAACCATAATTTAAAAATATAACGAATCAAAGAAAGAGATGAATCAGAACTAAAATTGAAAAATGAAACAGATGATTGAATATACTTTGAGTCATATAATAATTTGAAAAAATAATTATCAACATACAAATAGAAATGTTTCAATATTTTGATCTCAAATACATTTTTAGCCCAAATTTGATATTTTTTTTAATAACTGGAAAAAAGTTATTGCAGATTAAATCACATCAGATTTCCTAATAAGGCCCGATTCAATGGCATGATACAAGAAACAACAATGACAATTGGAACCATCCTGTATGCAAAGTTGGTTCATTCCCCATACATTATTTACTTCATTCATTTTGACTTCACGATTCATTTCGAATTCATGAATCATTGATTAACGCATTGTATTTTATTTACATATTTGTCATGCATGTTCTCCGGATCCAAATTCTATTGAGCATACGTGGGACTATCTAGATAGAGATGTGAGAAATCACGAATCACCACCTACAGACATACGTGAACTTCGTATTGCGCTCATAGAGGAGTAGAATGACATGCCTGAGGAGTATATTCAAACACTAATTCATGGCATGTCTTCCAGAATGGAAGTTATTGTCTAAGTTAAAGTTGGCAAACCCGATATAAAATAACTGCTTTACTGTTTTCTTTTTCAGCCATTGTAAACAATAAAGAACAAGAGGAACACGCAATAATTCATAAATTTTAAACAAATTGTGATATCAAAATGAATGAAGAAACAATAAATAGGGAATGGACCAAGCTTTGACACAGTATGGTTTTGAATTTCATCCAAAAGCTGTATTTCACCACAGTGTGTAAAATCTAGATTATAAAAACATAATTTTGTTTCCCTCGTATAATGCATATAAATCGGGCGTTATTAGGACATCTGTTTAATGTGTTTCAATTTGGGATAAATTTCCTCCCATAAATGAAAAAAATCATCAAAATCGGGATAAAATGAGATATTCAAGATCAAAATAGGAATTTTATTCAAAATAAGGAATTTTGTACCATTTAAATACCCAACTTCATTCAAAAATTCAATAACTAATATCAGTATGAGGAATGTAAGATATTCATTATGGAAACCAATTAAAAAAACTACAAAATAAAATTATAAAACATACCTACGTTAAGTTAAACTACAAGGAATCTATATATAAATACAGAAAACTACTAGATCTGTCATCCTTGAATAAATTCAAATTATGTACTTTCATTTATTTGGTCAAAAGTAAGCTCGAACATTCATATTTATAAATTTAAAAATCAATAGTGACCAACGCTTTCTAAAAGTAATGCAAATGAAACAAATATTGGCCAAAATTCGATTTTTCATAAAGATCAAGATTTGCATGTGATGTTCGCGTCTCCACTCAGGCAGATGGCTCTTTTCTGGATGGAATCCAGCAACTTCAGAGTATGTTTGAGGGCAGAGCTCCATACATGAGAACAATACTCCAAAGATGGTCTGCCCTGAGCTTTATAAAGCATCAAAAGTTGTTAAGGTGTGTACAGCTTTCTGGTTCGGAATAGTGTTCCAAGCTTTGGAGAAGCAACCTTTGCAATTCCAGCGACATGATTGTGCAAAGACATATTCTGTCTGTCTGTCTCTGTTTTCCGTTAACCAGCTATCGCCCCCCTTACGAACGACAACCCTCAGAAGTCGAAACTTGTGCGAGCTAAGGATTAACGAGGTCTTACCTTTTAAGCTGTGATTCTTAACACGGGTTGGACGATAGCAAGTGAAAATCGATCGTTCAGACTGGGGTTTGAACCACCGACCAACACGGCAGTCAATTCAAGTGAGTGAACAAAGCATCCGCGTCGAACCGCCTGGCTACCGACCGCCATTTTAACCTCCAACAAATTTATCGAAGCAGAAAGGGGAATTGTCTGACCTGACATTACTATATCGAAAACAATTATCTTTTTGGAGAAAACTGATGCCTGGGTTTGTGTGGCATAGAATTGAACCTGGTTACTTTCACCCCAATTCGAAATTACTTCTAGATCCTCATTGAGATATGCAACCTTCTGCTGCCATGGAAGATGTGCCTCCATAGTCGATGTCCTGGAACCCAAATGGAATGACAAGTGTGCCGTCTTCAGGAAAGCAATATATTGGATTCTTGTTTTTTTTAATAAGTCATTGAAATACAATAAAAAGAGGGATGGAGACAATATGGATCCCTGGGGAACACCAGCGTTGATGGTGAAAGTATTCGAGAGATATCCATTGACGGCTACTTGCAGGGAACGTTCTTTTAGGAAGCTGAAGAGCCATACACAAAAATGATCCGACAAGCCATGGCATCGAAGTTTGGTCGGCAAACTCTCAGGCCACACACGGGTTGTGAATGTCATGAATTATGTTCAATTCTGACTGAAATTTCCATTGACTCGTTCCTGCCTTAAAAAAAATGAGAGCATTCCCTACATCATTTGTATTTTCTTTTATTATCATATGCCATAATATATGTAAGAATTAACAAATTTTTCAATTTAGGTCGAGTTGAAAATATCTGAAATATTAATTGAATTTCTTTGTTGTATATGAATGAAATTACTACACATCCTTGAATGAACGTGGTTGGCGAGGTCCTGAGAGCAGAAAAAAGGCCAGTACAACCCTGTATAAGATCATACAGGTCTCTAGATTCGACACAATTTGGAGATTTCGGCTTCTGGGTGCTAGAGGTTACTGCCGGTAGTGACAGCTGAGCAAATTTCTGTCTTAAATTTTGAGCGCAAGGCTGTAGAAAATGCCTCCATTTTGTTTATTTTCTTATGTGAAATAGTGAAGTGTCGGCATCGCGATTAATCACAACAGAACGTCCCCAATGCAGTCGTAATAAAACCCGTAAAATCCCGTACGAGCTGGAAAATATATTCGTATATATGTTTCTTGTGTGTTTCCCTCGTCCAGAGGGTTCAGAAAATAGCAGACATTGGGCGCATCGCGAGTAAGCACTTTGTCAAATTGACTACTGTGTCCGGCACCAAAAATAATTCTCAAAATATCAATAGTAGTAATAACACTATCAATCGTAGTGTCGCGACAGACAAAGAAAATTTGATACATATAAAAAAAAGTAAAAGTGTATTCGGCTCCGTTGGCAAAGACAAAACTGTGCCCCTTTTATCTCCACCCCCAATAATGAACCACGTGACTGGCCAGTACCGCAAGAACGAAGACAATCCACCGAATAACCAAAATATCAACGTTAATGAGGTGGAAGACATGGAAACTCAAGAAGGTAAGTTTAAAAAGTCATCCCAGACAGCCATGACAGTGCATCTGACATATGACAACGTTTTACAGCCCACATATATTTTTTTAAAGTGAAAGAAATGTTGTTGCTTTGTAATAATGATCTTAAAATAAAGTATTTATGTAGTGACTACAATGGAATACATCACAGATTCTGGTGGTGCTGAAATGGATCAGACTCAGAACGGAGAGATTGTCATCGGTCCACAACCTGATCCGAATATGACTGCCCAGGATGCTGATATGGAAGAGGACGAATCGCGTTCTGAGGCCACTTTCAGATATACTGTTCAGCAGTTCAGTAAACTTAAGGTCAGTACTTATTTCTTTCAGATTTTACTTCACCTCTGCATGACCCTGAAAACCATAGCCAATATTGTTTCGGTTCGGAAAATGCAATAGGTTTCTTCTTTTCACATTAAATTTTTTTTTCATAAGGTGAAAATGCGTTTTCCAAACATTCAATTAGTTTATCACACACCTTGTCATCCTGATCATGTTGCTAATTCATATTATCAATTTATAATAATCCTGAAGAACAGATCTATGGAACTTGTAACAAATAACAATACTATTGTCATAGAGAACAATGCCAAGTATGATTACTATAGGTAGGTACAATGTACCTACCCATTTGATATCTAAATTATTTTTACCATACCTAACCAACAAATATCTTAGTCTTTTGTTCATATCTTCAAAATCAAGAACTAGTTGTTGAAATGGTTCAAAATAGGGAAGTTTATCAGTCAAATAATATGTCTGTTGGAAATATTATAAGTAGGTCAAGTGGTAAAACAAAGTTCTGTCATCTGTCTTTCACAAATCCTGGTTTTTTGTGCTTCATATTTGCTAAAGTATTTTATTCCACCAATTCATCGGCTCTATAATATATAACAATTGCACCAAGAAACACCAAGTACTCTTACGAATTCACAATTAAACATCTCAAAATATAGCAATCTACAAAACATTGAACGTAGACCACCTTTACAAGAGTATTAAATATCCATTGTTATAACAAGAAAACTTCTAACGTAAACCATCTGGTAAGTGTACACGGATAAAGTAAAACTATACACCTACTTTTATAAAACTAGTCCCTATCCTACCATCGTCATAAATTTAGCATATGCACTGACAGACATTTGAGCTTATTTTTTTTATAAAATCAAAAATTTTGAGGAAAAGTAGATGTTTACAAGACTCAGTAAATACGGTTTTATAATGCCAATCATCTTTCCAAAAGATGTATAGTTATTTAACTGATTTCAGTAACATTGTTTATTAGAAATCTCCTTCAAAATACTGTGTAAACGTGTTCAAATGTTTCATATTTGGGTGTACTTGTCATCTGTTCACCATTTGAGGTCATTATTTGTTGAAAATACTAGCGCCTTTATCGATCCAAAATTTTCCCTACACTCTATGAAGTTCTTTAACTAATAATAATATTTTTATTATCCATGAATGATGTATTAATACATTTTGCACAAAGAAAAATATGAAGTGGATAAATGGTTAATTGGTTCAGTCATGGACAAATCTACTTCTATTCTTCCATCAATGTCAAAAATTATAAGAATATAAAATGTTCTGATGATGAACAAAATATCAGCTGAAAAATAGGTAACACTTAGAAAATGAGCGACAGAGTGAGGAAAAAGAAAAAAAGGATAGGAAAATGATAATGGAAAGTAAAGTCAACAATAAGAAACATATTTGCTTGCTTAATAAATGTTATTTATATGTGATTTGAATGTTTTGGTACTCATATTCAGAAGTCTAGACCCAATTATGTGCAGATTATTGATTCATACTGTTACATTGTAGGAGAATAACTGCGTAAAGATTGTTTTAAGGTGCTTGGCATGCTGAGTAGAATTTTTTCCTGACATTTAAATTAGGGACATCACTTCTGTATGTAAGTTTGCTATGTCGATTGGGTGGTATTTTTGTAAACTTTATAAAAACTATTCACAGTTTCGGAGGTTACTTGAAATTGTGACCCCAAAATATACAAATATCTTCCAATAAAAACAATCATAAATCCTGGAACAGATATACAGGAACGAACTGAGATCAACTTTTAATAAAGAGGGAACATCCAAAGAAAATATGAACTTTGAAACTACTGAAATAGATCTGAATCCAGTGATTAACTTGTTTCAAAAATCATGTTCACTGATAACCACCACTGATAATAATCACTGATAGCCAAAGAACTAATGAAGACAGTGAATTGGCCACTTGGAAAATTAAGACAAAGACTCTGATCCTAACATTAATTGCCATATTCGTTTTTGCAAAATTGAGTGTCATCTGTTGGTTGCTCTCTTTCTGAGGCAATGATCTAGTACCATAAATTTGAAGAGAATCAGTGATGACTCCACTTTATAAAAAAAAGCAAAGATTCCTTCAGATTCGCGATTATAAGTTAACTAGTTTCCTAATAGGACAAGGTACCTAAGCAGATACTAAATGTGTTTTTATACCAGAATTATCAGGCATAACAAACCCACTTTCATGTTTATTTAAACAATTTTCATGTCGCTCATAACAGATCATAATTGACTAATAATTTTTGATAAGGTGACGCATAATAAACTCATTGCAATAATACAGAATCAGACTCATTTCAATAATACAGAATCAGACTCATTTCAATAATACAGAATCAGACTCATTTCAATAATACAGAATCAGATATAAGTTACTCCGCTTGAAAAAACTCACAAAATTTCGATACAAGGTTAGAATGACTGGAACCACTACAGATGAGTATGAAAATGTGTTTGAAGCACTAATCTTCAACTGAAATTTTGCATATACATTTAGTGTGGATGACGTTGCATAGTGACAAAGCCAAGTGACACTATTCTACATCCAATATGGCGGACCGCCAGGATGGAGGACTTACTATATTTTATGAATCCTCATGACATGGGTATCAAATGAAAAGATGTACTGATACTAAAGTATCAGTATCAGTATGATACTGATACTAAAGTATCAGTATCAAAAAAACATGACGGCACTCTAAATCCAATATGGCGGACCGTCCAAGATGGAGGATTATTTTATGTAATCCCATTATATACATATCAAATGAAAGGGGTTGTTGAAAAATAATACAAAAAGTAATATGGAGTCACTCTAAATTCAATAAGGCACACTCCCAGAGATGACGGACCAAGTTTTTTTAGGTCCTTAAGAAATGTATATCAAATGAAAACGGTCAAAGGGAAAAAAAAGGTGGCTGCCTTGTCAATTTTTAATGAGTTTTAACTTGGCAAAGGTTTATGAATACTTTAGTGGTGCTCAAGCAAATGTTGTAGGAACCAACCATGATTAAAACAAGCTTTAAGTAACATGCTCTACAAAAAAGAAAAAAAAATTTGAATTGATAAAAACCCGTCAATTTTTTGAATTACACTTGCTTGTCGCGAGATTTACCTGTGCAAATGAATAAGAATAGAAGATGTAACTTGATCTTGACAATAGTAATTCTTCGACAAACATAGGTATGTTTTCCATATAATTAGTAAATTTTGTGACTAGCCAACAATATCATATGGATAGTGAGAAATTTACGGGTTTTGTTCAATTGGAAGTTTGTCTTCTTTCTGTAGTATTTTATTAAAAGCTTGTTTTCAAAAATTATTTTTTACCATTACGTTGTTTCAAATGTTTTGCGAATACTTATTCAGTTTAATCGAAAGAAGCACCATTTGAATCAGTGTACTTTTTGCCAACATTACACAAATCGATTGATTACGTCAGCATAAAAATAGTGCTAGGGATTCGATGAAGCCGACGAAGGCCGTTTTTGTCTTTCTACCGCTAAGAAGGTTATTGAAGTGCTTGAAAAAATGGTAGTCGGTTGGCGAGGGGTCTGGGGAATATGGTGAGCGAGGCAGACCTTGATGTTCAATTCGTATAATTTTCGGATGGTGATTTGTGAAACGTTCGCTGGGCGTTGTTGTGGAGCAGAATCGGAACTCTTCTGTTGACCAGTGCCGGCTTCCCCTTGACGCAGAAAGTTATAGTGAATCACATGAGCCTTTTGCCACCATACAGTAACCATGGTCTTTTTTGGTGGGTTTTTGCCATTAGGAAGTGTCTGGGTGGCCCATGGTTGTCTAACCATTGTCCTGAACGTTTCCTATTGTCGAAGATAACGATTTTTCATCACACGTGACGATTCGATCCAAAAAAGGGTCGTTTTGGTTACCCAAAAGCAAAAAAGAACAGTCCTCGAAACGTTACAATTTCTGTTTGAAGGTGATTGACAATGTTTCATGATGAATTTCACTAGTTCGGACTTCCATTGTCTACTATATAAAATGATTTGTTTCAGGGATTTCAAATCATTTTATATAGTAGACAATGGAAGTCCGAACTAGTGAAGTTACAATTTCTGTCGATCGTTCATATCGTGGGGCACCCACATTTCGAGCTGTTTGACCTTTCCAACGTGTTTTAAACCATCAATAACCGCATGGGAGCTGTCGCTCAGTTCTTTCGCCATCCCGCGCACCGTTTGTGATGGGTCAGTCTCCACCAGGGTCCTCAAATCCTCGTCCTGGATTACTGGAGGTCGACCTCTTCAGGGCTTATCTTTGAGGCTGAAATCTCCTAAACAAAATTTCGCAAACCAACGTCAAATAGTGCATTCATTAACACTGTCATTGCCAAATACCTGCTAATTCTTCTGAATGTTTTGGCAGCACTTTGGTTGAATTTGTATTCGTAGAGAAAAATTGGCCAAAAATAAAAAATTTGGAAAAAAATAAACAGGAGGATTGGACTTGATAATCCACAAAAAACATACCATCTGAAAAGTGTAGAATAAAATAACAAGAACATTTTCAAAAGAAAATGTAATGATAATGTCCGTGTAGAACAATATTTGTTCATAGTTGTTTCCATTCACAAAGAAATGTCATAGTTTTCAATCGAATCGAAACAACATTGGGTCTTATGGATAATCGTAAGGTACCGTTTAGTAGTTTTTGAGTTGAAAAATACTCCAGTGTTCAAAATTTAACTTTTCAGGATTCGATTCTCTCCCCGCCATGTTTTGTGCGAAATTTGCCGTGGAAGATCATGGTTATGCCACGCAACAGTCATGCACAAGATGCTCGCCAAGACAGACCTTCTCAGAGGTCCCTTGGATTCTTTTTGCAGTGTAATGGTGAGAGCGAATCAAGTTCTTGGTCGTGTTATGCAGTCGCTGAGCTGCGTCTCCTTTCTGTACGACCAGACGTCGAAAATTTTCCGAGGAAAATTCAGCACTTGTTCTACTCCAAGGTACGGTCCTTCTGATTTCGATGCTATTCGTTCTATTGAGGTGTGAAACAGAATTTTTGGTAATAAGTTTTTATTTTAGGAAAACGATTGGGGCTTCTCCCATTTCATGACGTGGAATGATGTTTTGGACCCAGAAAAGGGGTTCATCAAAGACGATGCTATAACATTGGAAGTTCACGTTTGTGCAGATGCCCCTCATGGTGTATCATGGGATAGCAAGAAGCATACAGGTATTGGAAAATCATAAGTTGTTCTCTCTCTACTTGACCAAAACACTTAGCAAGTTATTTCAAACATTTTGTTTTGTAGGTTATGTCGGTTTGAAAAATCAAGGTGCCACTTGTTATATGAACTCTTTACTACAGACTTTATACTTCACCAATCAGTTGAGAAAAGCTGTATACAAAATGCCAACCGAATCTGATGATTCAACCAAGTCAGTTGCTCTGGCTTTGCAGAGAGTTTTTCATGAGCTCCAGTTCTGCGATAAGCCTGTCGGTACCAAAAAACTAACTAAAAGCTTTGGTTGGGAAACTCTAGATTCGTTCATGCAACACGACGTTCAAGAATTTTTGAGGGTATGATTTCGGACTGATGCAATTAAATTTTCATTCAATGTAATACTTCATTATCTTCTCTAGGTGCTATTAGATAAGTTGGAGAGTAAAATGAAAGGTACTTGCGTAGAAGGAACTGTGCCAAAATTATTTGAAGGGAAAATGATATCATATATCAGATGTAAAAATGTTGATTACTCAAGTACAAGGTCTGAAACATTTTATGATATTCAACTGAACATCAAAGAGAAAAAGAATAGTGAGTATTTCTTCCAAATTTATTTACATCCTTGTGTATACTGTTTCATAGCACTTCAGCTATTTGGAAACACTTGTAATTTCACTGAATTCCAAAGTTCTTTACTTGATTACCTTACCAAAAATGCATTTTATAGTACTGAAGAATTTCTTCAACTCTAGCTATTATTGTGTAGTTACTTTATTTTACTTGTACAAATAATAA